ATTTGATTGGAGGGGATAAAACAATTGTGATGTTTCTCACCAAAAAATAAAAATGTGATGATAAATGATGTCAGCGTTTGGCTGCCCTGCTTATATATGTCTCTGGTGATCTTCAACAATTAGCATGCAAAACAAACCCAGCGCTGTGGACTAAAGAAGGCCATAGCTAATACGGAGTAAGTTGCATAAACACTAGTAGAGGACTAAAAAGCACAATAATATATGCAGCAAAAAGAAGAAGAACCATGATTAGTTTGAGATGTGAAAGGCGAACGCTTCGGCCGAAAGGAATCGAACCCTGCAGCCGGCCTGTAGGTTAGGCCAAAGACCGTTTTGTATTTCCGCAGACAAACATTATTCAGCATCGATGCTCTTCGAAAGCAACTTCATATCAGATCTCATGTTGAGTCAGATAAAACGAACAAGGAGACGTACACAACCTGCTGCTTGTTAATCAGAATCACCACTGCGTGGTCATCCTAGAAAGAGAGACAGTTTCTGTCAGAAATTTCTATGATTCCTTTTGCGGTCTCTTCGAAGATTTAGATGGACAGGAATTTCCACGGTCACATCGATGCAATCCTGTTGTAGGTAGACTCAGGGTTTGTTTAAATTTAGCGTGTAAAATTTTAGGGTGTCATATTGGATGTCACATGGATATTTGGATACTAATAAAAAAATAAATTACAGAATCCGTCAATAATCCGCGAGACAAATTTATTAAGCCTAATTAATCCATCATTAGCACGTGTGTATTTAGCATCACAATGTCAAATCATGGACTAAATAGGCTTAAAAGATTCGTATCGTAAATTAGTCGTAAACTATGTAATTAGTTATTTGTTTAGTTTATATTTAATACTTCAATACATATGTTTAAATATTCGATGGGATAGGGAGTAAATTTTAGGAGAAAAACTAGATAAGGCCTCAAGAGCAACGCCTGCGCAGCCAATGGCTAAGTGCATCGACGATGCACACGTCTCGTGTAATAAGGAAGTAATATACAAGAGTGGTAAATCAGATACGCGTACATACATTCTTTTGACGGCAAGGGCAAGCAGTAGGGTGTGTTGTTACCGGCGGATGCAAGGCGAGCTCGTAGTCTTCGTAGGCTCGTAGCTAAGCTAACCTTAAGCCCGAAGCAACTTTCGTGATCATCTCTCGCTGCTTCAGCCTGTCCGTTTGATCGTAAATGATCGTGAATTATAAGTATTTTTTTCTCATATTAAATTAGCCAGCAGTAATAATCTACGATCGTTTTAGCCGAAACGAACATACTAATGGATGCCATTCAACTGTGGCTCCATGTAAATAATATCCACTGATGTTAACCAAAAGATTATTCCGTCGTTTTTTATAGGAAAAGATGATCCCTTTGGTGAATGCAAAGGGTGTAGACTAGGCGACTTGCAGAGGAAAAATGTAACCACAGACAGAGAGATAGGCCCTCTGCTAGAATCCACCGTATCTGGGCTTTCTACGATGGCCTCTTCAGGTCCGACCTCAATCAAATACCAGGTGAAGGCCTGGTCCCATTGTGTACTTGTGTCTGTGCCTAGGCTCCAGCGCTGGCCTCCTGACGCGTTCGTCGTGCCGCTTGCTCGCGTCCACGAAGGCACGAATGCGGGCTGAGGTCTGCGTGGCACCTTGGGCTCACAGGCTGACAGGGGTAGCAAACGGACGGACGGCCGCGCGCAAGACTGCTGCTTGGGCCGTGGCCCGGCCGGACGCTGGGCTGGACGGGATCGGTCCGACGACGCGCACCCTCGCGGAGCGGGTCCGCGCGGCGCAGGGATGCCTTTCGTGTCAGCGCGCCACGCATGACGCGACCTGACCACGCTCCCTTTCTATCCATCTCACGTAGGGAGTAGACTATAGCGCACACACCGGTCGGCCACCCAGCCTCAAAACGGCAATGATAGCGTGCGGACGTCCGTTCGGTGGGACGGACCCGCACGACTGGAACCACCACGTCTCATCTTATCTGCCGATACGATTCGACTCCCTCCCACCCATCCGTCTCGTGACCACGCCTCCCTCGTCCGCTCTGCTCCGCTCACGCCGCTCTCTCGCTCTGCTTGTTCGCTCCTCCACTCTCTCACTCTTGGCACGCAGTGCTCGCGCGCCGCCGTCCCTCTCTCCCCCTCTCTCGCTCCGTGACCTCCATGCCACCGGAGAGGAGGGGCGATGATGGCGGCTTCCGACGCGTAGGTGGGTCCTTCTTTGAATCCGAACCCTCTTCCTCCTCCTCCTCCCCCTTCTTTTTTAGATCCGAGCTCTCCTCATCCTCCTCCTCTTCTGGATCTGGATCTGAGGGACGCGGCGGTGGCTAGGGTTCCAGCGAGCTCTGCTGCAGTAGACTTGTTTTGCTGTTGCAACAAGTAATATTTCTTCGTTGCATTAGTCTTTTTTTTTTGATGTTGCATCTCGTATTGCGCTTTTTGTTTCTGTTGTTGCAGTAGCGTCGTTTTTTTGTTGCAACAAGTATTTTTTCTTTGTTGCATTAGTCTTTTTTTTAGATGTTGCATCTAGCATTGCCCTTTTTGTTTCTGTTGTTGCAGTAGCGTTGTTTTGTTGTTGCAACAAGTAATTTTTTTTGTAGCATTAGTTTTTTTTCTGATGTTGCATCTCGCATTGCGCTTTATTTCTGTTGTTACATTAGCTTTGGTTTGCTATTGCAACAAGTAATTTTTCTTTGTTGCATTAGTCTTTTTTCTGATGTTGCATCTCGTATTATAGTAGCTTTGTTTTGTTGTTGTAGTCGTTTTGTTCTGATATTGCAGTAAACTTGTTCTGATGTTTCACCTTTGTATTGCGTTTTGTTTGATGTTGCAAATAATTTTCTGATGGGAGCGCGGTGAGGATGCGACACACCTAGCTTTGGGGAATGGGTGATGCGGCGGGCGAGCGGTTCTGTTCTTTTCCCATGGCGGGGCGGCGGTTTTGGGAAGCGGGGAACGGCGTTCCGTTCTATTCTCGCGGGGGGTCGGGTGGGGAAGAGAAGTGAGCGGCGTTTTCCGTTCGTGTTCTATCCCGCGTGGACAAGGGCGGGCGGGTTTGGGATGGCTCGGTACGAAGGGCCCGGCATCCGAACGCGTCTTGCGCGTCGGACGTCCGGACGCTAGCAGTGCCGAACCCAAAATAGGTAGTAGGAGACTCAAAATTAGCCTCCAATATCCTGAGGGGCACGATCTAAATATAAGTATCTCTCTCCTAAAAATCCATTTACAGAAAGGATTCTCTTTTAGTCTTATTATTGAAGAAGATGTCAAATATGTATTAAATCTTTTATATGTAGCGCTACCCAAACATTGAATATGTCTTATATTTTGGCTATCGTTGTTGTCGGAGCGTAGAACGACTCATGTCTCCTACACAAACGAAACGGACCCCAAAACGAAAAATCTGCTTTTCGGGCCATTTAGTCCTCCGCGCCCCGGCCTACCCACCCAATCTCTGCTCGAAATTCGCCTTCGCTTTTCGCCGGCTAGCGACATGCATTGTGCGCGGCGTCAGGCATGCTTGCTCCTTCGTTTTCATCATGCTACTACTAGCTAGTTTCCACGGCTCGCCTTTTGACAAGTCCAAACACGAGGTGGGAAAATGGGGATTGGTGGATGGCGATGGGCTGGGTCGACTTGGCTTGCATGCCGCGCGCCACCATGCATGCAAGGCGGCAAGGGCTTGACCGCTACTAGCTACTAGTACGTCACGGTCTACGGTTGGTGTGCTTAAGCATTGTCAAACGCTCTTAACTACCCCTGCGAGACCTGAGGCGCCTGAATTTACCTCTGTCGATGCTTGTCCATGCCTGCGACCAAAGGGAATATTTGTCCTCTTGTCCATGCCCTAGACTATGGAGGAACGCTTTCATCATTGGATTCGGGACCCCTTTTAATCGACATGCGTGGACGATATATTCAAACTACGATTCATATACTAGCTAGTAGTAGTTGTTAGGATGTGATCTTTGTAAACGTTTTTCTTTAGACCATGGTTTTCATTAGTTGACGCAGGGGTCACAAACACGCGTCGCATTTCTTCTTACCTTCCTAGTACCTGCCATTTGATTTGTTTTTTGTTTTTTTTTAAAAAAAACGGGTATCTGCCATTTGACAATGACTGGTCACAAGAGAGCTACTAGTTCAGCGGTTGTCGCATTCGCATTTGACTGTCGCATTTAATTGCATCAGCATGGTGGAGCAGAGTTTTAGGTTCGGATTGGCTAAGCACTTCCTCAGCCTGTTCGCTTCCCCGTAAACGATCGTAAATTTCAACCTGGAACAGTGTTTTTCTCTCATACCAAACCAACCAGCAGTAAATAATTCCACGATACGATACGGCCTCCCGAACAGGCTAAGGCCTATCGTTACAAGAAAGTCGCATGCATGCAGGGGAAAGACGAATATAACGGAGATATATATGCGCTAGATCACGTCGCTAGGACTCGACGCTTCGACAATACATCCGGCGGAACGGGAGTAGTGGAGGACTGCCGTGGAACTTGACGTCTCTGATCGTCGGATCATGCACATGCGCGCGATTAGCCGAGACGAGGACCGCGGAAATCAACGCGGGACCGATCGAATCGTTGACGTTCGAAGTCGTACCAACCCCACAGAACCGGCATGTGTTTTGAGTTCGTTAAACCGGAGCTATATAATACGACGTGCAGGAGGACCTGTGTGTGTGTGTGCGCGCGCGCGCGTGACCGCCCCGTCCCCGAGTCAAACTTTCCTGCACGGCTCGCTCGCTGGCGGCAGGGCCAGGGCACGCACGACGTCCACACCAACGCCGCGTGGCTCACCAAGTCACCAGTTCACCAACCCCTGTGCATGATCGAGTGGGGAGAAAACCACCTATAAATCTCGCGTCCCGCAACCCGCTCCGGTCGGGACCAACCAACCCAAGTGCTCAACCACAAGTCCAAACACCGACAGGTGCGCGGGCAGCAGAGCGCGCGGGCGAGTGCAGCGGGCAGCGGGCAGCCGGTCACCATGTCATCGTCCAGCAAGCAGGACGCGATCAGCGAGGTGCAGTCGGCGCCGCCGACGCCGCGCCCGCCGGTGTCGACCCCGCCGTCGCAGATACAGTCCCCGCGGGCGCCCAGCGGCGGCCGGTCGCCGCTGCACGCCATGGCGTCTCCGCTGCGCGCCATGGCGTCGCCCCTGCGCGCCATGGCGACGCCGCTCGCCAGCCCCGTCAGGAAGGCGGTGGCGGGCGTCAAGGCGGTCGGCAACATCACGCGGCTCGCGGACCCGCGCGACGCCTGGCTGCCCATCACCGAGTCCCGGAGCGGCAACGCCTACTACGCCGCGTTCCACAACCTCAGCTCCGGCATCGGCTTCCAGGCGCTCGTGCTCCCCACGGCCTTCGCCTCCCTCGGATGGTGCGTGGCGCGTCCATGTTTGTGCTGGAGTACTCTTTGTGCTGTGCGTACATGTTTGTTCGTTGCTCCCGGTGGCTCAGATAGGACGTGCTGTTGTTTGGTTCTTGCTGCAGGACGTGGGCGATCATCTGCCTGACCCTGGCGTTCGGGTGGCAGCTCTACACGCTGTGGCTGCTCGTCAGGCTCCACGAGCCTGTCGCGGGTGCCACCCGGTACAGCCGATACATGCACCTCGCCAACACCGTTTTCGGTGCGTTTCCCTAAATCACGCCGGTTCTTTCTTTCTTTCTTTCTTTCTTCTGTCTTTGCGTACGGCAAGGTTCAGGCGTCAGCGTGAATCAACATGCATGGCTGCCCGTTTTCTGTCGTGTGCTTATGTCCTTATGTCCTATCCTCAGGCGATAAATGGGCGAAGATCCTGGCGCTGCTCCCGGTGCTGTACCTGTCGGCGGGGATCTGCACGGCGCTCATCATCGTCGGCGGCGGAAGCATGAAGAGTCTGTTCAGCATCGCGTGCGGCGAGTCGTGCCTGGTGCGCAACCTCACCACCGTGGAGTGGTACCTCGTCTTCGTCTGCGCGGCCGTGCTGCTGTCCCAGCTCCCCAACCTCAACTCCATCGCCGGCGTGTCTCTGGTGGGCGCCACCGCCGCCGTCGCCTACTGCACCATGATCTGGACCGTGTCCGTGGCCAAGGGCAGGGTGGCCGGTGTATCCTACGACCCCGTCAAGGCCCACAACGACGTGGACGCCGCCCTTGGCATCCTCAACGGCCTCGGAATCATTGCCTTCGCTTTCAGGGGCCACAATATCGTACTGGAGATTCAGGCAAGTCAAGAAAATATATCTACTATCTTTCCCACTGCTGCAGTACTGCACGATGGATGACAAATGGTGGAAAAAAAAGGTCACTGAGTGTGTTTGCTTTGCAGGGCACGATGCCGTCGACTCTGAAACACCCTTCTCATGTGCCCATGTGGAAGGGCGTTAAGGTAGCATACGCCATCATCGCGCTCTGCCTGTACCCCATCGCCATCGGTGGCTTCTGGGCTTATGGCAACCAGGTGTGTACCAGCTGATACGCACGGGCTTCGGCCCACATCGACAGTTGTTGTCAGTGACTGATTTTTGCAAGCTCCCGTTCGTTGCACGCATGCAGATACCTTCCGGTGGCATCCTGAGTGCCCTGTACAAGTTCCACAGCCGGGACGTGTCCAGGCTAGTGCTGGGGACCACCACGCTGCTGGTGATCATCAACTGCCTGACCACGTTCCAGATCTACGCCATGCCGGTGTACGACAACATGGAGGCCGGGTACGTGCACAAGAAGAACCGGCCGTGCCCCTGGTGGATGCGCTCGGGCTTCCGCGCCTTGTTCGGCGCCACCAACTTCCTCATCGCCGTCGCGCTGCCGTTCCTGTCGCAGCTCGCCGGCCTCCTCGGGGGGATCTCGCTGCCGGTCACCCTGGCGTACCCGTGCTTCATGTGGGTGGCGATCAAGAAACCCCGGAAGGGCACCGCGACGTGGAACGTCAACTGGGCGCTGGGAATCCTCGGCATGGGCATAAGCGTTGTCCTCATAGTCGGAAACCTCTGGGGTCTCGTGGAGACAGGCTTGCGGTTGAAGTTCTTCAAGCCCGACGATATGCAGTGAAAAAGATGCACATTTGTACGTCAATCAGTTGGACTCGTAATGCAATGTGCTTTTATATATGTTGATTTCTTCGTCAGGAATGTATAATGTTCTGTACCTTGACAATTTTGCTAGAAGCAAAGTCGAGTTAAGGTACTCGTGGTCGTGCCTCGTGCCATTGCCCATTGCACACCAAATATTTGTTTCTTTATTTATTTGCTATAGTATACATTTTTTTTAGGGGAAAATTCAACTTCCATTACTCAAACAGAGCTGAATCTTCAGCAAGTACACAGATGATGTTTGCCGGCAAAGAGGCCAAAACATAGTCCTCATCCGGATCACACACACTGCCTAGCGCAGCAAGCTCATGGGCTACTTTGTTACAAGAACGCGGGCAATGTTGAACATGCCAGGAAATGAAATTGAAATCTAACAAGCTACGAAGTTCAGCAACCAAATTGGTTACAGCGCTGAGATCAAAAGCATCAGAGTAGACTGCTTGCACAACCTCGACTGCATCCGTCTCGATGATGACATGCCCTACACCTGGGTACCATGAATGATGGCGATCAGCTCACCATGAAGAGCGTTCATCAAAGCTTCCACCCTGCCACGTTGTGCAGAAACGACGTCGCCATCCGCATCACGCAGAACGCAGCCCCATCCACCATTCCCAGACTGAGGGTCATATGCGCCATCGCAATTAACTTTGATATAGTCCTGCTCAGGGCGTTCCCATCTTCTCGCCACACGGAGTCTCGCCTTTCGTTGGCTTATTCTGTCCCATTTTACTTTTTTTTTTGAGAAACTTCTGTTCCATTTTACTGTCAACGGGGGGATTACTCCGCACCTGGTTATGTATTATGGGCTTATGGCCCTTCAAACGACCCATTAAGGATTACAAGGTTTGAGCTAAGGGAACAGACAGGCGCAACAACAAACGCCTGCTGTTCTTAAGGGGAGTAGAGGGGGAGCAGAAGAATTGTCTAATTTTTTTGAGGTCTACTGCTAGGCACCTGGGCAGCGGATCTATAGGGAGAAATCTTCTATATTTTTTACCAAGGGTTGTCCTCAAGTTACACGTGACACTGTTAAAGGTATCCTTCGTGTTGACAATGAGTCCTTGAATGAGCGCTATTTGGGCATGCCCACGGATGTTGGCAACTCGTTTAATGGAACGTTTAAATTCTTGAGAGACCGCGTGTGGAGCAAGATCAAAGGATGGCTTGAGAAGATCCTTTCAGCCGGAGGTAAAGAGGTACTAATAAAATCAATTGCACAAGCTATACCGGTCTACTCAATGGCATGCTTCAGACTTTCACGGGGTTTATGCAACCACATCAACTCTCTAATCAGACAATTCTGGTGGGGTAGCAAACAAGGGCAGCGCAAAGTGAGCTGAGTATCTTGGGAAGTGATGACCAGACCGAAACACCTTGGTGGTCTTGGTTTTCGGGACATTGAGATTTTCAACTTGTGTTTGTTGGCAAGACAGTCGTGGAGGATCTTGCAAAACCCTGCCTCTTTAAGTGCCCGCCTACTCAAGGCCATATACTTTCCCAACACTTCAATCTTGGAAGCCGAACTAGGGACCCATCCATCTCAAATTTGGCGTTCAGTTCTGGCTGGTAGGGATGTCTTGACCCAGGGTCTTATACGCCGCATCGGTGATGGCAGAACAACCAAAATTTGGGATGATAACTGGCTGCCACGTGATTGTAATATGAAGCCCATAATTTCTCTGAAGGTTAATCCTCCACGGCTTGTTAGTGAGCTTATTGATGAAACTACAGCGACATGGAAAGAGGAGCTGATTCGAGAGTTCTTTCTCCCAATGGATGTTTCGACTATTTTGAGCATACCTTTGTGCACTCGCAGACAGCCTGATTTCTGGTCTTGGCATTTTGATCGCAAGGGGCTCTTCACAGTTAAATCAGCCTATAGGATGATGGTGACAATGAAAATTAACCGAGAGAATTATTTTGAAGGAAATGCAGGATCATCAAACACTGAGTCTGGTAGTAAAGGGTGGTGTTCATTGTGGAAAACGGCTGTAACTTCCAAGGTCAGGGTCTTCCTGTGGCGACTTGCTCGGCAATCATTGCCCACTGCAGATGTTTTGGAGCACCGAAATATGGCAAGCTCCTGTGTTTGCTCATTATGTGGAGTTGCGGATTCATGGAAACACTCTCTTGTTGAATGCAACATGGCAGCTAGTGTCTGGGCATTCTCGGATGAGGTAATGGTGGAGCATATGATGTCAATCGGAGAACCAAACGCCAAGAACTGGCTGTGCAGCCTCATTGAATCTCTACCTCATGAGCAGTTCACCCCGCTGACGATAACCTTATGGGCCATATGGATAGCTCATCGCAAGGCTATCCATGAGGAAATCTTTCAAAGTCCTTTATCCACCCATGGTTTCATTAACTCATATTTGGAGGAACTGAAATCTATTGCTAAGCCACCTAGTGGGACACCAGTTCATGCGGTTCTAGTACCAAGGCAAGCTTGTTGGATCCCTCCTCTAAGAGCTATACCTAAAATTAATGTTGATGCAGCTATGTCGAAAACTGAGAATCGAGGGGCAGCAGCAGCCTTTTGCCGAGACAATGATGGTACTTATCTTGGAGCTTCTATAGTGGTCTTTATTGGCATCACAGATCCTGCAACTTTGGAAGTCTTGGCCTGCGTGAAGCTCTTGCTCTTGCTGAAGATCTTGCTTTAGAGAGATTATTTGTTGTTTCAGACTGCAAGACAATTGTCTCGGAGATTGGTGAAGGAACTTTGGGTAGCTATGGATCAATCATTGCTGAGATAAATTCCCGAACTGCACTCTTCAATGAGTGTAGTTTTGCCCATGAAGGAAGATCTTCAAATTTTGAAGCACACAATCTAGCTAGGCATACAATTTTATATGGGACTGGCCACCATCTGTGGCTTGGTGTACCCTATTATGATATTATTCCTGTAAACATTGTTATTGAGTAATAAAGCCTAGCTGATTGTCTAAAAAAACGCCTGCACCTTTGCTAATTACAATTGACGTTACACTGCGGAATCAAACAGAACACACCGATTATCCACTAGTACCCATCTCTTATCGGCAAACGAAAGGGAAATCCGGGACGTCCGGACGCAGTGTCCTCGTTTGGACTCCCGCGCCTACTGCCCGCCCCTATAGATAAAACGTGCGTGACTTGCTCTCTCTCCATGCGCTAGAAAAGAGAGTAGTGACGTACTTTCCTATATGCATACGACCAACGAAAGGGACGCGTGCACCGTGCCTTCGGCTCCCACTTTGCCTAGGCGGGCCCTACAGCGCATGCATGCATCTCCCGCTCGTTGGCACGCTGCTGCCATGCTTGCTGGCTCAGCTCCGCCTGTTGCTGCGGTACGCAGGTACCCATGCTCCTGCGCATGCATGTGGGGGCTGCCGCGCCTGCCGGGACCACTACGTCTGAGGGGACCACATCCATCTGCGCTCACTTTCCGCGTCTGGTCATGCAACACTTGCAACATACATTCGGAACAGATGAAATATTTACAAACATACGCTTGCAATATATGTGTATGGCTATTACAACATATGCAACATCCAAATAAAACACTTCGCAACATACGTTTGAAATAGCTGAAACATTTGAAACATACACTTGCAACATACGTGTATAATCAGTGCAACATATGCAACATATAGATTAAACACTTGCAACATACGTTTAAAACAGCTGAAACATTTGAAACATACACTTGTAACATATGTGTATAGCCATTGCAACATATGCAACATTAAGATAAAACACTTACAACATACGTTTGAAACAATACACTTGCAACATACGTGTATAGTCATTGCAACATATGCAACGGCAAATCTACTTTTGAAACATCCAGATGAAACATATCTAACATAAATCTAAAACACATGAAACATATGGTTGCAACTTGTGCTCATCGACTTACTGCTATCCAATAGAGGATCATCGAAGCGGAGCTCGACGCCGGCGCGGAGCTCGAGGTCGCCCACAATCAACAGGCAGATGGATCGCGGTCGCGGTGAGAGGCACGAGGCGCGGGCGGCGCGTGGCACGAGGCATGGGCAAAGATGCGCGGCGCGAGGTGCGAGGCACGGGGACGGGCAGGTCGGTCCCATCCAGAAAAGGCCGGACGCCCTGAGGGTATCGTTATCCCAAACGCAAACGGAAGCGCCAAAGCTCTGCATCTCGTTTGCAGGAGGCAAGCAGCTGTCGCAGGTTTTGCTCTTCACGCCTGAAGACCACAGTGTTCCTGGCTTCCTGCGCTTCCATGGTTGCCAGCAGCACAGGGCTATGAACATCCCAAACTGCTGATTTGGCAGTCAGTTAGGACAGACAGTAGTGTGCAGAGCACTGACCTAGTTACTATTATTTTTCACAAAAAACAATCTCTGTTTATATCCAGTTCTATCAAAATGTGCCCGACTAGTAGAAATATAAACACGTGGGAAGGTTTTCATGAAAGTGTCTGCAATACAATACAATACAACAACTCGTGAACCGCGAAGCGCAGCACTAGCAGCAACTTCTTCAACAGTTTATTGTGTTTTCTTGTCGTGATCATGCAGGCCACTTTAGGTCTTGTTTGACGTGTATATATTCATCTCAGTCCATATATGTTGAAATGGATTGGAGTGAAATTAAACTAAATTCTATTTTATTCTACTCCAACACATTTGGATTGAAGTAGATAAACATACATCCAAACAAGGCCTTAGTTTTTTATTAGTTGGTTTTTTCTACTGTCTTTTGTCCGAGTGAATTTGATGACGTGGCTAATCTGTTTAGTAGACTGAGGTCTGCAGAACGCTAAGTCGCTTGTCCTTTTTCTTATATTCTGCCTACTTCTAATATAATTGCAAATCTCTTGATGTCCTTTTGAAAGAATAGTTTCAGTTTGAATCGTGCCTACTTTGATCGAACATCATTTTTTTTGTTTTTTCTTGTCCTTTCTTTTTCCTCACATGCAAGTGCATGTAA